TAGTACTGCAAATATCAGAGTACTGTTAGTCCTGCAAATATCAGAGTACTGCTAGTACTGCAAATAACAGAGTACTGCTAGTACTGCAAATAACAGAGTACTGTTAGTACTGCAAATATCAGTACTGTTAGTACTGCAAATATCAGAGTACTGCTAGTACTGCAAATATCAGAGTACCGTAAGTACTGCAAATATCAGAGTACTGTTAGTACTGCAAATATCGTGTGTTTTCTCTGATTGTAAAGTTATTCTAACACCTGTTTAACACCAGGTTTCTGTACTATCACTAACAGCAGTTATCTACAGTATTACATGCAGTCCTCCCTGCAGTATTACCTGTAACATTACCTGCAGTACTCCTTGTAGTATTACCTGCAGCACTCCCTATAGTATTACCTGTAGTATTACCTGTGGTAGCAGCTGGCTGCTTGCTCTTGTTCTTGCCTTTAGGAGCTGGAGGCAGCAGAGCAACTTCTTCTTGAGGCATCTGAGCAACTTTCTGCAGGAAAATCTTCTCTAAAGCCTGAGCCATGAGGACGATGTCATCTGTGGGCTACACACACACACACACACACATACATACACACACACACACACACACATACACATACACACATACATACACACACACACACACACACATACACATACACACATACATACACACACACACACACACACACACACACCATTAACAACAGGTGTTTCCAGTAAATTCCATCTCAGTGCTGCAGTACTGTGTGTATATAGTACTGTGTATGCAGTACTGTGTGTGTGTAGTACTGTGTATGTAGTACTGTGTACGCAGTACTGTGTACACAGTATTATGTATGTAGTACTGTGTATGTAGTTCTGTGTATGCAGTACTGTGTGTGTAGTACTGTGTGTGTAGTACTGTGTGTGTAGTACTGTGTATGCAGTACTGTGTATGCAGTACTGTGTATGTAGTACTGTGCATGTAGTACTGTGTATGCAGTACTGTGCATGTAGTACTGTGCATGTAGTACTGTCTAAGTAGCACTATGTGTGTAGTACTGTGTGTGTAGTGCTGTGGTACCTTGTTGTAAATGTAACAGTTGGTGAACATGGTGTTGAAGTCCTGCATGGCTTCACTGGCGCTCCAGTAGTAGTTGTTCTCCAGGCGTTTCTTGATGGTTCCCATGTCCATGGGGTTCTTGATCACCTTGTGGTAGTCCTGCAGACACAGACAGGTGAGCACACCTACAGAGGACACCTGGTGCGAGCGCCGTAACAGACAGGTACAGGTGACGTACCGACAGACACAGCTTGATGGCGTCGACCGGCTGGTAGAAGGGCCAAGCGAACTGATGCTTCCACAGAGTCTTCACCACCACGTTCTGCATGTACTGCAGCTGGTTGGTCTTTCTGAGGGAGCAGACACAACCAGCACACACACGTGACACACGGATCGGTGGGTGCACACACCTGTCCACGCTTCAGACATGTCTGTCTGAAACTCCTGAAGCCCATCTACAAGCTCTTCAGACTGAAGCTGTGTACTCATTTGATCTGAGGTCTGATCTATTCTGTCTGGTTCTACGTTACACGCTTCTAAATCACAACAAAAACAACAAATCACCTAAAAGACCTCAAATCATCACAAAACCAGCAGACATGCAGCAGACATGCGTGTTGAAGCGAACACGCCTGTAACCAGGAAACCCTTTTATAGTTCACCTTTAGCCAGATCTATGCACGTTGCTGTGTTTAGTGTGAATCTTCCCTGCATCTGTGTCTGACATCGTCTGTTTTATCTGATTCTACTTCACATGTTTAGTTTTGAGCTGTTGCTTTGAATTTAGATTTACTCTGTTTGATCATCAGCTGCTAATACAGTGTGACGGAGACCTCCTGGGCGTCCAGGTGTTTCCTACCTGCCCGGTTTGGTGGGGTTGGTGACCTCCGGGGGGGCCGGATTGGTGAGGGCAGGGGGGCTGGGGGGCGCAGCCTCGGGGGCGTCCGACATGGTGGACGGCGGTGACGCAGCAATGCACCGTGGGACGGCAGGGTTCGGCCTGGAGGTGAGAAAACAAACTCCCTCTGCAGGCGGAGGGTGTGTGTGTGTGTGTGTGTGTGTGTGTGTGTGTGTGTGTGTGTGTGTGTGTGTGTGAGGGCACACAACTGTGTGGCTGAGTGTGTGTTCAGTTCAGTTCAGTTCAGGTGCTGCTGTGGAGGCTTCAGCTCGATGTTTCCCCCGAGGAGACAAACTCCCATCGCACAACCTGAGACAGACAGACAGACAGACAGACAGACAGACAGACAGACAGACAGACAGGTGTCATTAGCACATCTTATCATCATGTCAACATTCTTCATATCATTAAAAAAGTCAAAGATCTTCCTCTGTATGTCCCATAAGTATGTATGCTAACGTGCGAACAATATTTAACCGCAACACACAGTGCCCTTAAAAACTAAAACTAAACCAAAATCTTCTCCTAAGTCTTCACGTCATGA